TCCTTGCAGAGCCACGAGAGATCAAGGGACATGGGCTTCCCCAGCCCTCCGAAGGCCCAGAGCAGGGCGCTGTGGCGAGGGAAACACACTCCTCACTGTGCACCTCGGCTGTGCTGCGGGGGCAGTCGTTAAGCTTGATGGCTTTTGTAAAAGGCCAGTCCTTGCTTTGAAGTGAGCAGACCGAGGACCACTTGGATAGGGTCCACATCAGAGCCTGGAAATGTGTCCGGAAGAGCCAAATTCTTCACGCCTGCCCAGTACTCCCAGGTCACACAGTGGGGGGCTCATTTTAAGAAAGAGCCACTAAGACACCCAATGGTGACCAGTGACCGTGGGTGCTGAGACAGAGGGACAAGAGGTCACAGGATTAGCTGGGCCCCCGGGAGAGGAGTCTGCAGGGAGCGCTCTCCAGAGCTGGGTCTGCAGCAACCCCAGCCGGCCGCTCCCTGGGGATCTGCTTGGGGATCTGCCTGGCAGCACACACACTGTGCCCTTTCAGTGCAAGTGGGATATCGTTCTGGGGGAAACAGAGATGGTTGATTAGCAATTTGCTAAATGAACAGCCCCATTGCCTGGGCCCTGCTAGGTGCGGTCTCCCTGGGGAGGCTCCTGCTGGGAGTCATTGGGTGGGACCCGGAAGGTTGCTATTTGTTTTGGTAACACCTTCTTTTTTGAACAGGTAAGACCTTAGTCTGGTGAAAGGTTTAAGAGCCACTCTCCTGGGCAGCAATTCCGTCAGATGGACCCCAGGGCAAAGGGAGGAAAGCCCCGGAGTACCCACAACCTGCCACATGTCAGTCACCACGTGCTCGCTGTCCCTCCTGCAGCTGCAACTGTATAGCAGGCTCTTGCTCAGAAGAAGGGCCATGTGTTCCTGGGTTGAATCCCCGAAAGGTATGATCCAGATTCTCCTGGCTCCAGATCTACCCTCCTCTGGGCTCACAAGATGGACACATACAGTGCTCTTGCATGCTTCCTTCCTGAGAGAACTGGCAATAACCCACGCCTTCCCAAGCCCACCTTCCTTTAGGTGTGTGTGTCTTTATTGAGCGCCAACCCTGTGACAGGCGTTCATAGTCCATGAGAAGCACTGCAGTGTGGGCCGAGTGACGGGGTGCAGAGGAGGGAGGCTGAACAACACCCCTTTCGGTGTTCAATGACCGGGTAGTCGAAGAGGGACTCCTGTCCCTGACTTGGTGTATGGAGGGATCCCAGAGAATGATGTCCAAGCTCCACCTGAGGGAGTAGAAGGTAGTCAGGCAGGGTGGACAAGGCAGAGGGCCCTTGACCGACAGGCCTGCTCAGGGAGTACCTGGAGGCTGGGTGAGCTGCTGTCATGTGGTAGAGGCTCAGTGTTTTCGAGGCTGAGGGGAAGCCAAGGCCATCGAGCTGCTTGGGACCAGCTGTGGCCCTGCGAGAAGGTGCACCTGGGCTCCCAGGAGGGGTGGTGCTGAGGAGCTCTAAGCTCCAGTCCACTTGCCATCTATACTCCCTGGGCACTTTGGCTCCCACCATGATAGAGAAATGGCTGCCTCCCTGCAGAGCCGTGGTGGACCCAGAGCAACAGAGAGCTTTCTCACTTCCAGGCGAGGAAGCGCAGATACACGGGGTGTCAGGGCTCGCCAAGGTCAGCCACAGGAGAAGCTGAGCGCCCAGTGGAGTCTGCGACCAGGGGAGGGTGAGGATGCTGCAGGGTACCCTCCAGAGGAACCAGCTGGGGACAGCACAAATGCCTCAGATGATTAAGAAAAACTGCCTGCTGATGCTCAGCTAGGAATTTTATTGAGCAAGTGGGGACGCTGAAGGTCAAGGCTTTGTCCTCAGCTGTAGGACAGGGGATGATACCACCTCCCAGGCCTGTGGCCCGAGCACAGTGAGGGGGCAGTGCTCAGCTTGTTAGCCATCCTGTCCCAGGTGTCTGAGGAACACGGTGTAGGAAAAGTCTTCTTCCATTGGGCAGCAGAGCTGGATATGCCCTGTCCCCTCCCTGCTATGTCCAGCAGAGGCAAGTGCCCACTTCCTCCCGCCACAGTGCCCCGCAGTGCAAGAGACCCCACAATACTGCCAATCACAGGCAGAAGAGGGACAGCAGGCTTGGTGTGGACCACCGGAGACAATCAAGACAGCCACCTCAAAAGACTGGCTGATGGTGTGGCGTCTGGCTACAGCTCTGACATCTACACGCACTTGTAATTTCACGTTATGTGTAATTCAACTAAGCAGAGAAGAGTCAGTAAAAATCCCTAGGGAGCCAGACACCCGAGCCGCCCGAGGATGAAGGAAGCATACACCAGGCGCTCAGAGCCAGGCTTTGTGCTTCCTGGGTCTGCCTGAGCCTTTATGACAAGCTCTCCCCAGCCCAGAGGGAAGAAGGAAGCCAGGGGCAGCTTGCTGGACATGCAAGCCATCCTGTGAGGACACAAAGCTGCATGTCCAAGTTTATCCTTAACAACTTTTTCAGTCTTCTAAGCAACAAGAGGGCTGCGGTGGCCAGGGTCTGACCAGAAGCCACTCAAAGTGAGTTCATTTATTTAAAAGGCAACTGCAAGCAGGGTGCAGTGGTGCATGCCTGTAATCCCAACTGCTTAGGAGGCTGAGGCAGGAGGTTTGCAAGTTTGAGGCAACTTAGTGAGGCCCCAAGCAACTCAATGAGACCCTGTCTTAAAATAAAAAAATAAAAGGGGCCATGGTGGGGTTCAGTGGTTGAGTGCCCTTGGGTTCAAGCCTCGTAGCAATAAATAAATAAATAAATAAATAAATAAATAAATAAATAAATAAATAAATAAATAAATAAATGTCAGTAGAAGGATGAGTGGTGCCTATGTCTCCAATGGCTTCTCCACTTTTCTTTTTTCCTTCCTGTTTTGTCACTCTGAGGATGGAACCCAGTACCTCCCGCATGCTGGGCAAGTGCTCTAGCACTGAGCTGCACCCCAGCCTTTTATAGTTTTTATTTTGAGACAGGGTCTCTCTGAGTTGACCAGGTTGGCCTTGAACTTGCCATCCTCCTGCCTCAGCCTCCCACGTAGCTGGGATTACAAGTGTGTAATCAGCATTCCACCACTTTTAACTTCACAGTTCTTTACGACTATTTATGACTTAGCATTATTATGTGCCGACTGACCCCTGGTGGGTGTCCCGTGGTCAAGTGCTGTGCACATAGGCACCTCTGCTGCCCTGGGCAGTCTCTCTGTTCCGTCTCTGTGGGCTGTAGACAGGCCGCCCACCCTCTGAACATTTTGCCTTCACCCACTCTGCCTGTCTGAAACTCTGGAGGCAGCTTTCCCTGCACCATATTCAACCAGACTTATTTGCAGAATGATGTCCCTGCCTGAAATGCCGGAGTCAGAGCCAGCTGCAGGGGGGCAGTGTAACCTGGCCTGTCTGGCTCTCTCTTCCACGCCCTCTGCAGCGCGCAATCCAGAGTCTGTGCTGTTTAACTCATGAAGACTTCAACAAGTTTCTGGGATGTCTACGCTGCTTTGTTTAAATTCCATCACAGCTAATAAGTGCCAGAGCCAACATTTGCTACATCTCTGACCAAGGACTTGTATGCGGAGTGTGTATTGAGCTATTCTAACTCAGCAACCAGAAAACACACAATCCACAAAAACGTGAGGGAAAACTGAATAGGCACTTCTCAGAAAGTATCCAAAAGGCAGTTAGCATATGAAAGATGTTCAGCACTGTTAAGTTACCAGGAAGTACAAATTACAAACACAAGAAGATAGTCCACTAATGGATAGCATGAAAATACCTCATAATAGTAGGGCGTTGGCCCACACCTGAAATCCCTGAGACTCCGAGGTTGAGGCAGGAGGATCACAAGTCTGAGGCTAGCCTGTGCAAATTATCCAAGCCCTGAGCAACTTAGTGATACTCTGTCTCCAAATAAAAAATAAACAGGGCTGGGGATTTGGCTTGATGGTAAAGTACCCCTGGGTTAAATCCTTGGCAATGTTAAAAAAACAAAACAAAAAAAACCACTCCTCACAACACCCAGTATTAGCAAGAATAAAATTCTAAAGCACATTAGCTGCTTAGCACGTATCTACCCTATGGCTCAGAGACTGTGCTCCTGGTTGTTGACCCATAGGGACGAAAATGCCCACCTGCACAGAGGTAGTGAGTGCTCAGGGAGACTCCTCTGGGTCACAGGGGCAGCCAACGCTCAGGAAGACTCCTCTATGTCACAGGGGCAGCGAGTGCTCAGGGAGACTCCTCTGTTTCTGTTTTTTGTTGTCTGTTTTAAAGTAAGAGCCCCAAACTGGAAACAACCAAGCGTCCAGCAACAGATGGAAAACTCTGGTGTGTTAGACACAGAGAACAGAGAGAACTCCACAGAGAAGAGGAACGAAAAGCCCCTGGAAGGGAACTCACAGAGCTATTTATTTCTGAAGCTCGAGCAGGGCCAGGCTTGCTCCTGGTTTGTAGCTGGGTTTGCTTAGATGGATCCTCATGGTGCAGCTCCCGTATAAACAACCCCAGGGACGAATTAAACAATACCATTGTGAGTGAAGCCAGCCGACCCCAGGGTGCATCTCATGGCCTTCTGGCCTTCTGCCTTTAGCCACACCAGCCAGCTTTGACAGGAGTTGGGTGTTGCTGTGGGGGTCAAAGGCCTGCAAGGCACTAGGCGCAAGGCCCCATTTAACAGATTCATGTCCCAGGTAGGTGAGAAGCACCTGGCTCCAAAATGGAAACCAAATAGCTAGAGAAGTGACTTGCTTTGTCAAAGTCCCTATCAGCTTAAAACTTTCCCAAGTCCCAAGCTGTGAAAGCAACTCAGGTAGTTTCAGAGGAAATGAATTTAGGGGAAAAAGAAGAAAATGGCCTCCAGTAATGAGATAAGAAGAAGGGAAAATTAATCTTTTTTTTTTTTTAACTTAAAATAGTCTTTGTTTGTACAATGAAACTTATTCGCAAGACCTGGTAGGCAGGCAAAATGTGCACAGAGTTCACAACATGACAAAACATGTTTTAAGTAAAGCAAGAAACCATTAATTATAAGTTGTTTTTTAATTATAGTAGGCGGCCATGAGGTAGATTAGTTTTCAGTCTTCTAAAAGGGACTCCAGGCTTCAAGGTCATGAGCATTGTTGACGTCATTTTTATCCCTGTCCAGTCTGCAGATGCTCAGATGCTGCAATCCAGAGGACACAGGAACAGCCCAGAAATTCTGGACCCAGGGGCTTCAGACCCACCATCTGATGCACCACCTCACACCCACCCATTGCAGCTGCCATTCCAAATGCAGCTGCATTGCTATGGCAAGCCAGGAAGCTCCAGAATCCCCTGCAGAATTCCATGCTGACCTTGCCTTTCAACTTGAAGCTAGCTCTGCACATACTCGCATTACTACCTGGAAAGAGAAGAATTCAGCCATCCTCCCGGTCAGTTCCAACCGTGGAGATGATAGCCAAGTTTCCCATTACCTATGACCATTCTTTCCCCCTTTTTCTTTCTGATGTTCTTAGGTGTTGCTTTCCCTTCTCCTAATTGCATCTCAAACACAGAATCTGAGACTCAAGGAGCCCTTGGGTGCTCTGTGGCTCAATTTCCTCATGGTACCAGCTGGGAAGTTGGACGGAAGAGGTGACGAGCACCCTTAGGGCTGCTGCCTTTAGCCAACAAAACACTCTTAGTTAATTTGAATTTTAGACCAACCATGAATAATTATTTAGTACATCCCAAATATTAAATGGGACATACTCATGCTAAAAATGTTCTCTGTGGCTCACCTGTGTTTTTCTAGCAACCTGAGGCACCCTGTGAACCCAAGCCCCCTGCCACTCTGTTGCCATATCTGCAACCGGGGTTCTTGGGCCATCTTCTCTTGGTTCCTTCCCCCACTCTCAGTCTCCTTCCTGGAATTCCCACTAGGATTAGAGTATGATTTTATAATGTGTTGATTCCCTCACAGCCTTGGTGTGTGGGTCACCAAATCCCAGACTGTGGACAACCACGCAGGGAAAAACAACTGTTTTTATTTTTATTTTTTTAACAATTTGTAAGAGCAGACCTGGAGAGGAAGGAGATCTTGCATACTAACAGGATATAAGCCGCGCCAGCTCACCTCCCGCATATAGAGCTCACGAGGATCCTATGAGAGCGCAGGGTCCTGATTTCTCCACATCCTCATTAGTACTTATTTTCTGTTTCTGTTGTTAGTCTTGACAGTAGCCATCTGATGGATGTGAGTGCTCTCTGTATTGATTCTGGGCAGATTTTATTGTATCATTAAATAACTGTTACATGCATTGAGTATGTGTTCTGCAGGGGAGAAGCATGGGCAGGTAAGAACCAGCCATACCTTGTCAGGAGCCACTCTGGACAGGAGCTGTGGACACACTGTTAAGTCCTGAGTAAAGAGATACTGGACTGGTATCGCAGCCATTGCACTACAGGTGAACTTTACCTCTGCTTGGATAAGAAGATGCAGCTCAGGGAGTGGGCGTCACCTGATTGGGTTGAGTGACACCCTCCCCTCTGTTGTAATCCTACCCCTGTGCCCTTTTTTGGATGGAATGTTCCATAGATTAGCTTCCCCCATTAGTAAAACCTGGGTTCGAGGCGTGCTCCCTCTTTCTTGCTTGCCTTGCCCCCCTTGTGGGAGCTGTGGCTGAGGAATGGTCACTGAACCGAAAGAAAAAGGTACTTTCTATGTCTGTGTCTATTTAGTCAGCCCAAACTCCCGTGGAGTGACCCAATTGATTCAGTCAGTGTCGCTTTCTTACCCAAGGGCTGCTCCTCACTCTGAGGGTGGAAGAGGTAGCTGTGTGGGGTGTCACAGCAAAAGGGTTCCCAGTGCTGCCTTTGTCACTTGCACTTCTCCGGGATTTGTAAAGAGTCTCGCTGAGAAATGAAGTACTGAGTTTAGAAATTTATTTACTTAGCAAACCAAATGCCTGTAGGCTAGGGACTCATTGGTGAATAACCCTGAGCTAGTTCCTCCATAGAGTCTTCATTCCAGAGGACAAAGTCACAAAACAAACTCAGATGTCATCATTCAATTACAACCATGATGAGAGAAACAAACGAGAAGTTCAGGAAACTAAGAGCACTCAGGAAACTAAGAGCACCCATCAGGGATTCTCGGCCTGTTCTGGGTCAGGAGCAAGGAGGTTGTGGCAGGGAGGGAAGATGGCGTGGCAGTGAGCCTTTGGAGCAGAAAAAATGTGCATAGGCCCAGGAAGTGGCGTGGGGCATTCTGTCTGTCCTGTTCCAAGCTGCAGCTCCAGGCAGCCAAGGCTGGCTGTGCCCCTGGCCAGCACCTTCCTGTGGCCTTGTACCAGGGTGGGTGGCACTCAGCATCTTTCAGGGTTGCCTCAGGCAGGGCAGCCCCAGCGACCTGAGATCTTCAAATGGAAGGACTGGCCAGGCAACCACAGGTGGGGTGCCCAGGCTGCAGGCAGGATGGTGTGCCCAGGCTCTTTTGCAGCTCTGTGCTGCTCTTGCCTCAGCTTGGAGCCTCCTTATGAAACCAGGTGAGGGGCTGGAGGTAGGGACCTTAAGAAAAGAGATTTTCTGTCTGTCCACATCTCTAGGAAAACTAGCCCTCTCTCACCCTGGGGTGATAGAAATCCAGTTTCACTAGCCCACGGGGGCTTCTCCACATGGAAGATGAGCAACCTTGCCCTAAAATGCCCCAGGTAATTTGTTAGTGTGCCACAGTTGACATCACATATCCACCCAACCCGGTTTCAGACCACACATGGTGTTAGGAGGGACAACAAGGTTTGGCCCAGGACAGGATCAAAGTGCACTGCCTGTCTGGGATGGGAGGGGGGGCCTCTCTGCAGGAAGCCAGCCATGGGGAGCACCCCAGAAGGCTCCCCTTCTCCAGCCCCTTCTCCTACGCTTTTCCTCCTCCCTGAGCCACTCCCCACTGCCATGAGCTGAGCAGCTTCCTCCACACTCATGAAGCTCTGCTCACCTTACGCCCAGAGCAATAGAGTTGGTGGAGCGTAGACTGAAACCACGAGCCAAAATAACTCTCCTGCTTCAAGTTGCTATATCCAGGTACTATGGTCACAGTGATGAAAAGCTGACAAAAGGCCCTATGTGATAGTAATTATGATTCTGGAAAGCCCTGGGGAGGATAGCTCGATTACAATCAGGCCAAGAGAGGCCCTGTGTGATGTCTGCTCTCACAGCTATTAAAAGAGCTGCTTTCGCCCTCTTATCCCTGTGTAATATGATTCTGGTTTTCCTGGAAGAGGGAAAATTGCCCAGCGAACCGTGTCTGCAGTCCCCAACAACCCCTCCTGCCTCATGATATTGCCCCTGATCTACTTTCAGGACAAGAGTAAAATGTACATCAATAAACAGAAGCACACTGCAGACGCTGGAGGAGAGAGGCTGCGGCCCAAGCCTGAGTCTGAACTGCATACACACGCACACGGTGGTCCTGGACTTCGGGGGCTTCAATTCACAGCATTTCCACTTACAACAGTGTGAACATGATACACACTCAGCAGAAAAGATTCTTCCAAATTCTGAATTTGGATCTTTTCCCAGAATAGCAATATACATTCCAATACTCTGGATGCCGGGCAGCAACCGTGAGCAGCAGCTCCCAGTCAGCCCTGCCATCATGAGGGGCCAACAAATGACACCCCACGTGCACTATGCTGCTCAGCTGGGGTGTTCTGTAGGTTATGTAGTAAGTGCATTTTTGATTTAGGATATTTTATACTTGTCCTAAGGGTGTATTGGGACACGTGTGCATGAGAAACATCTGTGTTTGTATATGCTTCTACATGGATGCATGAATGGGTGAATGGATGGATGGGTGAATGGATGGATGGGTGGGTGGATGGATGTATGAATGGATGGATGGGTGGGTGGATGGATGGATGTGTGAATGGATAGATGGGTGGGTGGACGGATGGATGAATGGGTGAATGGATGGATGGATGAATAGGTGAATAGAAGGATGTGTTGATGGATGGATGGATGATTAGATGGATGAATGTGGTGATAGGTACATACCTGGATGGATGGATAATGCCAGCTTTGGACACTAACCTCTCCATGCCTTGGTTTCTCCATATATAGCAAACTTTCTGATTAAAAAAAAACACACACAATATAATCTCTAATGTTCTTAGAACCAAGCCTGGCACACCAGGAAGCACTATGTGAGTGTTAGCTCTTCCCATGTTAGACATGTGGACTGTTGAGAGGCTGGTGGCTAAAGGGCTTGCTCAGTGGCAAGCTTCATTCAACAAGGGTGGGAGTGGAACTCTTCCCAGGGAGCTTGAATAAAGACATTTTCATTTTGAAAGAAAAAACACTGCAACTCATGGGCATTTTTTTTCCTTCAAAATTTGGACCTCAGGTACAAAAGGCAGTGTTTTTAACTTAATCTTCTCAAGACAGAAGCAATTTCAGTTTAATCCCTATCATTTACCACAGTATCTGGAACAGATAGTGAGTGGAAGGGAGAAAGGAAGGAAAAGACAGCAAAGAAGGAAGGAGGGAGGTGTGTTCAACAGACAGCTCCTTTCAGATCCGCCACTGAATGCTCATTAGATGCAGGGATTTGGGGTTCCTATCCATTAGAGATAGATTCAAACCTGAATAAGTGCCACACTATTTTACACATAACAGATCTTCAACTGATGGGATCAGGTGGGAGGAACGACCTTGAACCTGAAGAAAACATAGTTGCAGAATGCACCATCCTCCTGAGATGGCGGCAGGGCCAAGCAGCTCTGCTCCCAGCCTCCTCTGCCCTGCACCTGTCTGGCCCTTGGCAGTTCATTATGAAAATCTTATTTATTCCCATTATTTCATGAGGCTAGAGAGAATTCTGGTCATTTCTGCTGGTTGGCTAGGGACTGAGGGGTTTCCTAAGACAGGGGACTTAGTTTTAAAACTAGGACAGTCCTGGGCTAAGGGAAATATGGAAAACCCTCACAGAACCTTGTTTTTCAGACTTTCTGGGCTTCTCTAACTTAAGAGGTATTCACAAACTGCTTCCCTAAAGAACAGTGCTCCTTCTAGCCAAAGGGAGACTGCACAAGGTCTGCAGAAAGAAGAGCTGCAGTCACATGTTCCTTGGGAATGTCCACCTTGTGTCCTGGTGTAAGGAGACAGATTGATGAGAATGTTGGGAACATGAGTATAAAATGGGCTCACTGTGCTGACCCTCATAAGCTTCCTTTACCCCAAAGCAATTTGCCTGTAGCCCTGCCTGGCCTGAGTGGACAGGACATGTTAATTCTTCAACAAACTGGGGCAGGGTTGAAGGTCAGGCAGTCAGTGTAGGTAAGGAATGAAAGGGGTGGAGAGAGGATGAGGACTGGCTATCAAACAGAGAAGTGTTAACCTCTGCCATCATGTTCCTGGGCACTCGGGTTGCTAACAATTAACCTCCATGTCCCTGCTCTCAGGAAGAAAGAAGATAATAAATCAAAAAGAGGGGTTCTGAGGTCTATAAAAGAGCAAGATGCACCCCTTCCTATGGATACCAGCTCTGGGGCCCCTTCTCTTCAGAGAAGTCTGTCTCTGTCTCTTTCTTAAATAAAACTTGCTTTCTATGATAGACTCACCATTTCTTGGGTATTTAAACTTCTGGGGAATAAGGACCTATTCCTGATCTCTAAAGGACCAGTATCACTAGCTCAGTTTTCAGTAATATAATACCAGAGACTGGGTGGCTTAAATAGAAAACATATATTTCTCACAATTCTGAAGGCAGGAACCCCAAGAGCAAGGAGCAGACATCCTCAGGTTTTTGGTGAAGGTCTCTCTTGGTTTGCCAGTGTTGATCATCTTGTGTGCTTATCTGGCAGGGAGCACGGTAAGCAGAGCTCTCTTCCACCTGTTTGCAAGAGCACAGATCCCATTCATGATGGCTCCTCCCTGTGACCTACCTACCTCATGATTCTTCATATTGGGTAGGATTTCAGTATGCATTTGGGGGACAGAGTCAGTCCACAGCATCTTGATTAGATGACAAAGGAAAATGCCATTCATTCAGGATGGTATTTTGTTGCTAATCACTTTGTCCCCTCTTGTTAATCTCTAGAAGACAAGGTTATTTAACCTGTGCTACCGTTGTAAAACACAACACATAGAAGAAAACTGTACAAATCAGTGTTCAATCAATTATCATGGAGTTAAAACATTTCTGAAATCCCCCCAAAAGAAGTAGTTTTTAATGAATAAAGAACATCTGTTTAAGGAAGAGTTTTCTTTCTCTTTCCTGAGACACTGAATCTTTAGATCTTGATTCTATACATCCTTGAGCTACCTATATTCGTGCCAGAATCCCATACAGAGCATCACAAGATGCTTCTGGTGAGCCTCTTCCAGATTGCCTGTCAGCAATGAAAAATGTTACCTTACCAACATTTAGAATTAGTGTTTTAAAACAAGAGATACATTTGTCTGCATATGTTTCCTTTCCCTTTCTTTCTTCCTTTTGGAAGATCATTCTATGGGTTTATTTTCCTATATCCTGTTCATTGACTCAAATTTTCATGCAGGTACAAGATGTGAAAGGCCCTACATTACATTATCGTGGGGATAAGTGATATACTGTTATAAATGTTGCAGAAATGGTGGTGATAGCTATATCTTATAAATCTGACTCATTTTTAAATTTTGTTTTGTTTCTTTTTAAGCAAGAAACTGAGGCCACATGACTGCCACATATTATAGGCTAACTGGAATCCAGGAGGTCTGTTGTGTGGGCACAACCCAATTAAGCTGAGCACTCACTGAAATTGCTTTCTCAGCCAGGATGGAAAATGATTGATCACAAGTCAAACCACACATTAGACTGAAGGAGTTTACAGGTAAATCTGGCCCAAGGCCATTGTCATTTCATTTTGATGGGTGGAAATTTGAAGTGGTTAAGTGAGGCAGGGAGCTACTTAATTCTCTGCCTGAGATCCTTCAGATTGGGGGGCAAGGGTATGCAGGGAAGACTGGCTTCCATGTGTGGCTGCAGATGGGATATTCACCTGAACCAGTGGCTCACACTCAGTGGACTTTAGGAACTTCCTGAAAAAGGGCAAGTGTGCTGAGGACTCACCTAAGCCCAGTGACCCCTGATAGATATGTTTACTGAGCTCCTGCACTGGGCCCCTGAGACCAGACCAAGCTGGAATGGAGTCACTTGTGCAAGTACCTGGTTATCAAACTGAACTTCCAAAGAGGCCAGTTTTCCTAAAGCAACAGAAGATTCCAGCCCACCTGAGCCAGCACAGGAAGGAAGCTTCTTCTATTTTAACCACATAAAGAGAGTAGCCGTTTGTTAAGCTCCTTTCTGCATGTAACTGCCTACCTCCTCTGCTCTGCTCATTGCCAATGCACATTTTATTTTCGGACTCCAATAAAAGCCAAGTAGCTCTTTAGGTCTGTGTAACCTTGTCTTGACACTCCTCATCTTGAAGGTGGCGGTCAGGCCTCAGGGTAAGCTCACAGCTGCCCCTGCGGCTCTGGGACGCCGCGTGGTCA